GCTCGTATAGCGCCATCTGTAGAATCTGGTAGCATCATTTGCTTTATTTTTGAGACCTACAAAATACAATAAACTTTAGAATGTGGAGGCCAAAACTAAAGTTTAAAACAATAAAAATCCAACCTCAAAGAGCTTAATTGAAGTGTCAGCACTTCCTGTTGCAAAAAACCTTCCATCAGTGCTAAACCTTGCACATCTGGCAACATTCTACAAAATTTTTACCTATTAAGTCCAAAGATAGAACTCCATAACAAATTAAAACACGAAAAAATTGTCATCACAAATTCACTATCTCCTTTCGTCATTCTGATTGGTACCTTGTGGTCTGAAAGATGCCTGGTCTCATGTTTAGTGAAACTCTTTGACATGCCCTTTGTGTCTTGCACAGAACTGATTTGATAAGCGAAAATTAGTTCTAATACAAAAGAGACTACAAAATGGCTTAAGAATAGAGATAATAATTTCTTTGCATCCTGCAAGCTAATCAATTAACTGAAGTTATACCGAATAACTCTAGTCTATAGAGCAAAAGCAAAGTGGAATGAGCAAATTCAGCATAAAAGTCAACTCCCAAAGGGCCTCTGCTGTCTGGTTCTTGGAAAGGAATGGGCTAATAAAAAAGGTGAGAAGAAAAACGATTCTGTCTATAAAAATGTGTCCGCCCAAACACAACGTAGATCTAGGAACAACTGTCTCAGCTGTATCTCAGCAAAAGTTGCAGGGAAAAGTGCAGATTGGCAACTTAAGTGTAAAACTCAGACTGTCAGAGGTTTGGAAAAGATGTAATTGTCCATGACTAAATTATGAAGGCAAATACTGCCTTGTACAGCTCTAAACATAGCATAAATGCAGACAATTATGATGGTTCTTACATCCTCGGGAAAATTATTATATACCAGCAGGCAGATCACTCTAAGTAGTTCAAAAGAAGAAGGACATAGTCACTGATATCTCAAAGGAAAATTGTATAGAAGTCCAAGTACACATCAAACCAAATTATATAGAACAAAAACTCAATAACATTGCCTGACCATCATCATATGTACACCACGAGTCCCCTCTCCCCAGGCTCTCTCCCTCTCTCTCATCAAATCTCTTACTGACTCACATTGCAATAATTAATTGGTCATACAGGGAGAGTAGCCAACAACATCAGCACAATGACATTATTAATAGCCACCAGTGAACACATTCAGAAGCCGCATTTACCTGAAATCAACAGCGGTCAAAGGAGCTGGAACCAAGCCATATGAAGCAGGTATTGATCCACCCAGATAATTTGTCCCAGCATGAGAAACACCTCGCAATAGTTCACCGTTTTCCACTGCAAGACCCTGTTAGTACCTTAGCATTCCTTTCATTTACATGACAACTGATAAGAATGAACTATGAAGAGCAAAGTAAAGGCATAACAAGTCGAGCAGAAACCTTGGCAACCAGCTCAAGAAGCCTATTTCTTGGGGCTTCAACATTCAAGGGCGTCATCGTCGCTGAAGCAACCGCACTGGCTGCCTGCAAAGGAAAGCATTATGAGTTCTAAGGTTCATTGTTTCTTAATAAAAGATGAGGAAGGCGAGCGTTTGAAAGAGATCTAAGTTCTGTTACAGATACAATGAATTTACGCAATAAAGATATCAACTTCCACTGAATTCTGGCGGCCTATGACTTTGTATATGTTTGAAGTAAATCTCCGTGACCCTGAATACAATGCAATGAGGACAACATCGGAAGCTTTAAGCTTTCTATTCCACAGAACACTTTAGTAAACCAACCAGGAATCCTCAAGGATCATCAAGCCTCCTTTAAGACTAAAAAAGTAAGTACATCAGCACAGAACACCGGGAACCTCTGAGATTCGAACCAGAGGAAGCCATGGAACTTATAATGATCATTTCCAGTCTTCTTCCGCAATTTATCGCAAATTGAAGAACAGTTTAGAGGCAGCCTTGGTTATTGACCAACCCCATTTCCCCAAATACCAGAAAGTGCCGAACTTTACACGGGTCAACCGAAACGGAACACATCACTCCCCATCATTTCCCATTTTTCCTTCCACATTGAAAACGATCATCTTAAGAGACCCAGGAGTGAGAACGAAACAAAATACGCGAATCCTGTCCTTAAAAATCGTCGCTTGCCTGAGTGAAATTGCTGTCGCGAAGATGAGCGACGATGAGCGAATTGAGCTGCCTGTATATCCTCCCATCTTGCAGCGTCTGCTCCAAATTGCTGTTGCTTTCCATCTTCCACTCCAAATCAAAAACCCTAACTTCCAACCGCCACCTAAAATTTCTCTATCAAAGACAAGTTTTTTGCTTTCGAATTGGGACAATCAAACCCTAGAATCGAGCTCCGTGTTCATCACGAGCCGAGAGATGATCGATTCTCTCGCGGACTCCATTAAAACGTTTCCAGAAGGTCGTCCACCTAAAACCCTAATTTCCTGCGGAGCCGCCATTTTTTGCAGGTTCAAAATCTTTCCGTGGAGTTTGCCCCAAAACACAGAAAAAGAAAGAGAGAAAAAAAAATGTTATTATTACGAAAAACCTAAAATTTGTACATTTATAATAAATTTATCCTAAACTAATCTTTTGATTACGGACGTACATGATAATCATTCTGTTTTTTGTTTTTCTGTTCCCGGTACAGGTTTGGAACAGAATTCCTTTTACTGCGCAATTTTATTTTCTATTTCTGTAACGAATTTTGATTTCAGAAATATGTTTGGAATAAAAATGAGAAGTAAAAAAGGTTTTTTAGTTTTCTATTTCTGAAACAGAAATGAGAAATAAAAACCCTTCTCATCGTTCGCTCTCGCTATTAGTTGCCCGTCCACTTGTCGCCCGCCTCCCTCTGTCGCTGCTCGACGCCAGTCGCCTCCCACCACTACCTGCTGTCCACCCACTCACCGCCTAAGAGGGAAAAATTTTATGTCGTTATTAAACGCGTATTTTTGCTCAAAAATATATTTCTGGAATAGAATAGTTATCATTCACATCATAAAAATCCCAAACTGGTACATTTGTACTGAATTTATCATTCGTTAAATTCCTTCAAAATTTACCATCAAATTGTTGAGTTAGATAACACGCGACAGTTGACGGATGTACCATTTTGGGGTTTACTCGCCGTTTGTCACGAGTGTACCAGTTTATAATTTTTCGTGGTATTAATCAAATATAACGAAAATTAACAGACAGTAAATTTAACACAAATGTACAAGTTTTTGGATTTTTGATGGTCGAAAAATTAATTTCGGATAAATTTAGAATGTGTATACAAGTTTGAGGTTTTTTATAGTTAAAAAATTAGTTAAATGACCAGAGCGTTTAAAAGATGAAAAGAAAAGGTCTATCATTTAGCAAGAGTCATGGAGTTAATAATTAAAAAATCACCAAGAACAATAATAACACAATTAACAAATTTGAAAAATTCAAGCACACCTACTTCAAATACAAATATTAAGGGCGACCAATATTCTCTAACAACCAACTTATGAAAATTAAGATTTCCCCGAAAAACCTCGTCGCGGTGGATTAATGCTTATATAGCCTCGAATTCGAGAAAATCGCCTACTTCAAGTAGAAACATTAAGCGCAACCCATATCCTTGGACGAGCGCCTAATGATATTTTCCAAATTTGTCCAGAAAAATCTCGCTGCGAATTAACGCTTCAATTAGCTCGAATTCGTGACTGCTTAGTCCTCCAAAAGCACCTACTTTCAAATAGAAATATTGAGCACAACTCATATCCAAGCGCCTAACAATATTTTCCAAATTCTTTCCGAAAAATCTCATATGCGAATTAACACTCCAATTAGCTCGAAACTCGTGACTATCCAGTGCTCCAGAAGCACCTAACCCCCATCATTTCGAGAATGGATTAAAAAAAAAAAGATCCGACCTCGTTTTGTTTGCTTGTGCGTGCGAGAGACGGAGAGAGAGAGAGAGGGACAATAATTGGTAGAAGAAGCAAATGATAATTTACGAAATTGGATGTTTGATTAGTATGGTTAAGATGGCGGTGGTGGTTGCATAGCAAGACAATTGGGAAAAGGACCAAAGCACGTCGCTGTCCTCGCCAGTACACTCTCCACTGATACCGAGTCATTCTAGAGAGAGAGAGAGAGAGAGAGAAAATGAATTATTAAATTACGCGTGTTTTTTTTCTTTAAATTTAGAAGACAATTATAATGCTTTTTGTATTGTATTGCCACCGACAGTGTCGGAATTGCCCACGTTGGACCGCTGTCTCGCCTCCCCGATTTTCCATACCCTTGCATGGTTTGCTCCAAGTCCCTCTTTCCGTGTCATTAATTGCACGGTCGTTCGTGTGTGTGTGTGTTTTCAGACCATTTTTGGGTCGAATTCCCACAATTATCCCTCGCCGTCTCTGTGGCCACAACCCATCTCGATTACAATTAATCAAACCCGAAAATGGAAATCATATATAGTTAATTAAGAAAAATCCAAAATTGAAAATATAAGAATGGAAATTGGCGAACCCATCTCGATTATAGTTACAAAGTTACAACCCTCGATGAAATTACCCCGGACGATCACGACCAATTTAACCTAGACCACAGTATATCGAATCTTAATAAACATCGTGATGCACACGAGATTGATTCCTATAAAGTACTTTTCAAGCTTTTGATATTCTCTTAAATTGAATGGAATTCTTTTACTAGGACGCTTCGTAAATAGCTCAGAAGAGAGCATGTAGATAGATAGATACGTCGTGGATCGTTAATGATTCTTGTGCAGTGATGATGAAGATCGAAGACTAAATCACCATTGATTACTACTTAAGAATTCAATGATAGAGAGAGAGAAGAAGAAGAAGGGTATTCTTGGAAACCCCACGACGACTACTCGTGGAAGCAAACACCGCGGTAATATATAGTAACTGTCACACCTCTGTCTCTGTGCTCTCTCTCTCTCTCTCACAGAGACTTTTACAAGTCCACTCGCACTCAACAAAAGCTTCTACTTCCCATGTGAAAGAAAAAGCCAGCACCCTTGTACATCTCTCTCTCTCTCTCTCTCTCTCTCTTCCTCTTCTTCTCCATCTTTGCTGTGCAGATCTTGAACCGGAGGGGCGAAATCTGCATCAAGAATGGAGCCTTCCTTGCGCTCCACCGACGGCTTCATGTCCAAGCTCGGTGGAATCGCGGTCTTGCTCCTGTTGTTGCTCTCTTGCTCCTCTTTCCCATCCACTGGTAAGTGCCCCCCCATGATGATGCTCCTTTTCGCTTCTTGCTCGTCAAATTTCGGTTTCTTGAGGAGCCTTCTCTTTCTTGTTTCCTTGTTCCTTTTTGGCTGTTGCCCTCCCTTGATTATGTCTCGAACTCCGAGGGAGATGCGAGAAAATCAGGGTAATGTGCATCTGGGTCTGTTTCTTGATTCTCGATCTCTCGCTGTTCTTGACCGGCTTGCGAAGTCGGTTGAAATCAAGTTGCCCCTGCGATCTGAAGAGCCGTGTAATTTCCCTATCTGTTTCCGTAATTAGTTCCGAAAGCGGCATGTTGGGCAGTTTTTTGGTGGTTAGATGGTTGCGTTCGTTAGAAATTTGAACGTGTGTGAAGGCTATGTTTCTTTTTGAATTCTATCTTCAAGAACTTATCCGGGGAAGTAGTTAAGAGGAAACAAGCGAAGGTGTCTTTGTGTTTATTTATTTCCTCAAGTGATCTGTGTGCTCTCTTTACGGATTCCATATGCTAATTATAATGGCATCGAAGCTGATAATGTCTCTTGATGTGTGGCTAAGATGGCAGTTTGAACCCCAAATTTGCGAAATCTTGTGATTATCTTTTTAATGCCTTCCTCATGTGTCATGTGATACTTTCAAAAGTAACTTAGTGCATGCTCTGGACTTATACTTTCTGATTGATGTCTGTCGTTTTCTTCTGATGCCCGATTTTGCAGAAGCGTACGATGCACTTGATCCTAATGGGAACATCACAATCAAGTGGGACGTAATGAGCTGGACTCCCGATGGTTACGTGGTATGCATTAGTTGTTAACGAGATCTTCTTTAACTCATGTGCGTTTTTGTGAAAAAAGTAGTTTGCTATCGTTGTTGATCCGAGTCCCATAAAGACAATTTGAGGGGGTATGAATTATGAAGAACTTGAGGCTTAGTCAGGAAATATTTTCCTATCACGAAGAGTTTATATTTTTTCCCTGGCTCAAGTCTGGCTACAATCCCGCTTGTCTCATGACATTTTCTGGTTGAGTTCGACAGGCTGTTGTCACAATGTTCAACTTCCAACAATATCGCCATATACAAGCTCCGGGATGGACATTGGGGTGGACGTGGGCAAAGAAGGAAGTTATATGGAGCATGATGGGCAGTCAGACCACAGAGCAAGGTGATTGCTCGAAATACAAAGGGAACACCCCTCATTGCTGTAAGAAGGACCCGACAGTCGTCGACCTGTTGCCAGGAACTCCTTACAATCAGCAGATAGCAAATTGTTGCAAAGGTGGAGTTATAAATTCGTGGGTCCAGGACCCAGCAAATGCGGCAAGTTCATTTCAGGTCAGTGTAGGATCTGCTGGAACAACTAACAAGACCGTGAGGCTTCCCAAAAACTTTACACTGAAAGCACCGGGACCAGGATATACTTGTGGACCCGCAAAGATTGTCAGACCGACTAAATTTGTCTCTGCTGACAAAAGGCGAACGACCCAAGCTTTAAGTAAGTTATTCGCAGGTTTCTTCAAAGCAATTACATGTGCATGATAGTCTTTTTAGACAAAAATTTGAAATTCTTCGGCACTACATAGTGGTTGCATATGAGATGCATTATAAACATGCAAGCAATTCCTTAAGATAGTATCAACTATATGCATGTTTATAAAGTATCAAACATGTGAATGACTTTTACTGCTTCTGGCCCTGGGATATGTGAGTAATGCAATGCGCACATCTATTGTGGGATCTTTCCAAAGTGTGAACAATATCTGGCTGTTGTACCTAGGGGAACTTATTTAATCTACATGTGAGTTTTGGAATGCGGACAACAATTGCGACTTTTGATATCTTGCTCCGAGTTGATTAACTTTCATTCAAGCATGCAGTTATCTGACTTTCCCTGACCTTAGCTGCTTGATCTGTTGCAGTGACGTGGAATGTTACTTGTACATATTCGCAATTCTTAGCTCAAAAGACTCCAACCTGCTGTGTCTCTCTCTCCTCGTTCTACAATGACACAATAGTAAATTGCCCTACTTGCACTTGCGGCTGTCAAAACAATGCAACAGATACCGGCGGCTGCGTAGAGTGAGTTATCACACTTACACGAAGATTTAGTTATCTCTGAACTTGTCTTATAGAGTTCTCGTTCAGTGTTACGTGGAAACAATTGATTCATAACCATATGTTTCTCATCTGGTCTTTCAGGGCAAATTCTCCGCACTTGGCTCAAGTTGTATCTAACTCGGGAAAGTCTGGCAGCAATGCACCGCTAGTCCAGTGTACTAGCCATATGTGTCCAATTCGAGTCCATTGGCATGTGAAGCTCAATTACAAGGAGTATTGGCGGGTGAAGATCACGATCACAAATTTCAACTATAGAATGAACTACACCCAGTGGAATCTCGTTGTTCAGCACCCCAACTTCGATAATCTCACCCAAGTTTTCAGCTTCAACTACAAGGCACTGACTCCCTATGCAGGATTAAGTAAGCAATATTATACCTGATTCGCTTATAATGGTCCTGTTGAATCTGCTGCTTTTTTTTCTCACAATGTTGCAATTCTGGTTATTTAATTGCAGATGATACTGCGATGTTATGGGGAGTCAAGTTCTACAATGATTTTCTCAATGAAGCTGGGCCATATGGGAATGTGCAGTCCGAGCTATTATTCCGAAAGGACCAATCCACCTTTACATTTGAAAAGGGATGGGCTTTTCCTCGGAGGATTTATTTCAATGGCGATAACTGTGTGATGCCGCCTCCGGATGCCTACCCATGGTTGCCAAATGCCAGTCCTCGGCCAATTTTGCCTGGACTTTTCACGTTCATACCAATTGTGGCATCTACTCTGTTGTTTTTGGCTTTCGTGTGAGGACCCCAGGGACAAACTGCTAAAATGGCTGCTCTGCTATTCCTATCAGGTTTACACCAAACCACAACAGGGTTATAGCATGATTTGTCCATGCAATTGTAACACGTTCTTGTGACAATAGCAGGTGCGAGTAGAGACGGAAACAGGGTGCTATAGAATCTACTACTGCGAGGTCCCTGCCACTTAGCTTATTTATACATCCGGTGATAGAATCATTTGTAATCTCCTTCTGAATAATCTTTTGCTATGTTATACTGTTATTTATGTGGATCAATGTATGTTAAGAGTATCCGTGACCAAAATGTTGTAAGCTATTTGATTTTGAAGAAATGAAATACGAGTACCATGTTTGTCAACCATACAGAATGTAGAAATGGACGGGTAAGATTACTTACACAGCTTGAGAGGCTTGTGAGGAACAAAAGCAGTAGTACTCAGTATCGCATGACACAGACACCCAAAACCGTTAGTACTTGAGAGCGAGCTTTTGCGTGATTTTTTTTACAAGCACATTCTTTCTATCTTCTGTTGACGTTACATGAAAGCTCTAGTTGGAGGTCCAGATAGGCTGTATGATATTTTACCTGATGAGGGTGCAGCTTACGTCTGAAATCGCTTGCAAATGTCTTTGCTTTCAAAAAATTTCTGAAATGGGTCTGCTTCTAGGGAGATTTCTGAATGAGCAGTATCAATATAGCCATGGAGGTCACAAATGTTGACAAGGCTACTAGATTCACTTGGGCGGAGCTTGGTAGAAATGGGTATTTGTCAGGTGGGGGAAGCATACATTCATCTCCATTGAAGTATACTTTCCTTGGAAACGCCCATCCTTGTCTGAATGTAAATGTGTTCTTGTCTTTCTGAAGTAGCACTTCGGACTGGACATTTCCTTGTGGCCCTGCTTCCATCAGTAGATCATTGTAAAATTTCATTCCGTAGAACATACCCGTGTCGTCTGCGCAATCAGAATCACAGATTGATTAGAAAGTTAGCCCGATTCTTGCCCCGAAATTCCCAACAATTTAGGTAGAAAAGACTGATGAAGTGTAGCCTTAGCACTCACTTATCGATTCGTAAGCAATGAGAGGCTTGTAGTCGAAGCTGAAGACTTGGGTGATGCTGTTGAGATTGGGGTGCTGGGCGACGAGTGTCCACTGGGTGTAGTTCAGTTTGTAGTTGAAGTTCGTGATGGCGATCTTTACACGCCAATAGTCCTTGTAGTTGAGCTTCACATGCCAGTGAACCCGGATCGGGCACATGTGATGCGTGCACTGCAGAAGTGGAACGTTGTCTTTCCTTGGTGTGTTTATTCCCGCCTTGTGTAGTAGTTTGGAGTCGCTCCTGGCCACATCAGGTCATGAGCCTTTTTGTTTTATATATTTTTGAGAAATCTATAAGGAGATCTTGCACAAACCGCTTATACCAAGTTTAATAGAGCCGTCACCAGGTATATGATAAATTTTCAGTTAGATTCCACATAAGTGTATTACCCGAAGAATAAAGGAAAGTCATGGAACTTACGCAATGCAGTTGTTCTTGTTATGGCAACCACAGGCACAAGACGGGCAAGGCGTGATCGAGTTGTTGTAGAAAGTCGAGAATGAAACACAGCAGCTTGGGTTCTTAGAAACCAAGAACTGTGAATAAGTGCAGGTGACATTCCAAGTCACTGCATACAAAGTATGATCACGAGCAATGGAAAAAAAAAACACAGCATTGCCTACTTAATTAATCAAAAGTATAGTCCACTTGAAGAAGAAACATACTCAAAGCTTGAGTCTTCCTCCTCCGGTCAGCTGTTAAGTACACCGTCGAGGGCACGATTTTTGCGGGCCCGCAAGTGTATCCCGGTCCCGGGCCAAGCAGAGTGAAGTTCTTGGGGAGTTTGACCGTCTTATTGGAGGTGCCGGCTAGCCCGACACTGACCTGGAAGGCAGAGACCGAGGCAGTCGGGTCCTGGCCCCACGACGCGAGGATGCCGCCTTTGCAGCAGTTGCTGAACTGCTGGTTGTAGGGGACTCCGGGGAGAAAGTCGACAACTATCGGATTTTTCTTACAGCAATGTGGTACATTGCCCTTGAACTTGGAACAATCTCCTTGTTCTGTAGTTTGTGCTCCAACCATTGACCATATCACTTCCTTCTTTGCCCAGTCCCATCCCAGTGTCCAACCCGGAGTCACGATTTGCCGGTACATTTGGAAGTTACTCATTGTGACAGCAGCCTGGTTTTTAAATTTATTAACGGTCAACAGAATATTTACAGCAGTATTCCAAGATATAATCTTCAAAGTACGGCAATCATCAATCCGAAATGATTGCACTCACCACATAGCCATCAGCAGTCCAGGACATTACATCCCATTTGATCGTTATGTTACCGTTTGGATCTAGAGGATCATACGCAACTGCAATTATGAAGAGAAGGACAAGGGATAGTTAATTACCACCAGAACTGTGAGGTGAAAAAGTTTGAAATCCATGCATTCAACATGCTGACAAGGCCAACCTGTATGAGGAATCATTAGCATAAAAATGGCTGCCAGGAGTATGAGCTCAAGTCTTGGGGACAATGAGCTTTTTCCATCTTCATAAACTTTCCCTTGACAAGCGAAGAGACCTTCAGATTCCATTTCTGGTGCCTCCAGATACACTCAGTCTTCAGCCAACTTACAAGCGATGGAATGGTTTGTGCGAGGAGTGTGTTATATCTTGTATGGAGGAAAGATGAGACTATGTAATGTGTCACCTACCAGTTGGTAAGCTTTTCTTCTGATTTTTCCAAGTTTCGCAATCATGCACAGTAATTTTCCTTGTTCCTTCAATTCTGTTTCTGCATCTTGAAGCAACATGCAGGTGAGAATGATGGCGACGCTGGAGGCAGATTTTCCTGGTTTGGATGAAAATAACATGTGAACAGTCAGTTCCTTGTCTGTGACCGTAGCCAAAATGATCCCTTCTCTATAAGTTAGGCGACTGATTATATTTTTTTAAAAAAGGAAAAAAAACCTTTCTCAATCTCTTCTCGAAAATTATCAGCAAAATGAACTTCCGGGAAATAAATTGGAGTGTTGGAAAATGGATCAGTAGCCTTAGTTACATAAGTAGAGTTCTGAGTTAGGAAATATGGGTACGGCATACATGGAACAGACTAATGCAACGTAGTTGGTAAATGAGATTTCGAGCGTTCAAATTGGAAACTGAAATCTGAAGCTTTTTTAATTCCGTGACAAATGATTGTTTGCCATCAAAAGCCAGTTAAAATACTAGGAAAATCAAAAGGAGATGCATGTTCAGTAAAATTCAAGTCTTTTTCTCAATCTCCAATACGGCCATAACTCGGCTTGGAATGTCCCACTCGATGCCAGGACAGAAGAATGCCCCTCTTACCGTCTGCTCAAATTGGTGGTGATGGAAAAAGCAAATTTATTCTTGTAACTTAAGGGAGTTTCTTATTCAGCCTGCACTTTCTATTTTTGCTCGCTGTGATTTTGTTCTACACGCTATGCTTCTTCACGCTACTAGGAAAGAGTAAAGACCATCAAGCATTAATTACATGGTACACCCAATGGCTTCAGCAATCTGATAGTCAAACCCATCTTGTCAGCTGATTGACACCTTTCTATTTGTGTTTTATGTCTTCTGTTTGTTTCTTGAGCCCATTAATTTGGTTGACTCTCATCTTCAAGTACCATACTAAGTTGCTTTTTTATCTATGAATTTGCTTCTCCGCTTAGCTCGGTTGCTTAGAAGGCCATGCAAGGACAAGTGAGATCAGATCTCTCTATCTGATAAATGATTCCCATCTGCCAGAGCTAAATGAGGTGACTAAAAGATCTTAGACCTAAGTGGTTAGAAGACAGAGTACAAAATGGAGAAAGCAAATTCCTATAGCTGACTAGAATCTCATGATTTGACAGGATTAGAGCTTAAGTACGACTGTAAAATACACTCTGCAAAGCAAAATATGTTAGAAGATGATGGTGCACCATGACGGAAATAAAATTTGACTCGCTAATAGGTTAATGGAAAGAATTGAACAAGTCACTGTATTGACTTATTCATAACATAAACCGGTTTATACAGACACTAGGACATCAGTTTTGAAAGAAGACTTTTTTCCCATTGCTCATCACTTGCATACGACATTCCAACTTCTGACGAGCATTCTGCCGCTGCGCAAGTTGATTTAATTGCTGCTGCCTCTGAAGGACCTATAGGGTTGAATTGACTAGAATAACCGCTACGGGCTATATAGCATATGTGACTTGAGCAGGATTGTTTAACCTGAACCAACTTGATGAAGACGTTCAAAGAAAGTTATTTTACTTATGTTCTATATTGACTAGAAAATTATCGGTAAAATCCTTTGATTCGCACAGATTAAGCTACCAAATGGAATGGACTTGTTGCCTTTCTAGGGATCATCCATGGACCGAATTTGCATTTGGCCGGCTTCTGCAACAAGCTCATTAGGTCATAAACATTATATTATGCCAAAGGCTTCTTCCATCTAGTATCTCACCAGATTTAATTACATATTAGGCGCACCGTTGCTAATTTAATCAAGATAGTCCTTATCTTTCTCACATAATTGTACTTCTGGACCCTTTTACAGATTTCACGAGCATATACACATTTTGACTGTAGACTCAATATCATATACTCTGTACAGTTCTTGCATATGCCTTCCCATGAAAATCCCTTAGAGCAACAGCACTTCTTCGTTTCAGAGCTACCAGCCTCTCTCTATGGCAGAGGCGACTTCGCAATCATCTCAGGTGCAAGTAGATGGAGATGATGAGTATATATGCTGCCGTTCACATCATAGTATCAGCGGCATCAGTTCCAAGATGAGGAAGAAAGCCAAGGCTGAAGCCAAAGAACGATTCGAAGGTGCTATGCTTGGTAGAGAAGGATATTTATCAGGAGGTGGCATCATGCACTCGTCACCATTAAAGTAGACTTTTCGAGGAAACGCCCAACCGTGATCCCATGTAAAACTACTTATGTCTTTCCGAAGAATCATCTCCGATTGAACATTTCCTTCTGGCCCTGCTTGCATTAGTAGGTCATTGTAGTACTTTATGCCATAAAACATGCCGGTGTCATCTGCATATAAGGCAATCATGAGAAACGAGATTAAAATTTTGTCAAGTCTATCGACTCACCAAATTATGACTATGCGCGTTACTTTATCGTGGAACGTATGCGGTTTGACCATGTTCACCTATCACAACAATTAGGCCAATTTGTTGAAGATCAACGCGCAGAAAAAGCTAAAATCCAATCAAAAACAATGACAGCGTTCTTTTCTATAAAGGCCATGTACTCACTGAGGGAACCAAACGCATCGAGTGGCTTATAGTCAAATCTATAGACTCGAGTGATGTTGTTGAAGTTCGGATGCTGTGTGACGAGTGTCCACTGTGTATAATTCATCCCGTAGTTGAAACTGGTGACTGTGATCTTCACTTTCCAGTATTCTCTATAATTGGCCTTGACGTGCCAATGTACCCGGATAGGACACGTGGTTCGGGCACTGCAGCAAAGGCGCATGGCCTTCAATGGACGGTTGTGATCCCACCACACTCTGAATCTTGCTCTGGCTCCTGAGTCACATTCCAGAATAAGAATCAGTGTCCTAAATGCAACCACCAGGCAAGCAATTTTACGTAAAAGTTGTTAAACACTTACCTGATGCAGTAAGCTGTTCCGTCATAGCCACAAGCACAAGACGGACAAGGAGTGATCATAGAGTTGTAGAAAGAGGACAAGGAAACGCAGCAGGTCGGGTTCTTGGAAAAGGCCATTTGCGAGTAAGTACAAGTCACGTACCATGACACTGCAACAACAATTAGAAGAGAATTCAGAAGATGGATATGACTTTCGAATCAGAGTGAAAGAATTTATTCAGCGGAAACTTTTGATATTCACGAATATAATGCTTTAGACATTGGGAGATGATTAAAGGATGTTCAGCTTCAATCAAGCAGATGACAACAGACACATGGAAAGTCTGTCAAAAACAAATAGTTCCTAAACCAAGTAGTCATTTTGGGACTCCAAATCTTAGAGACACTCAAACAAATTGAGCACCACCAGAAACATAAAATAAAAGCTTCTAACTCACTCACGGCTCGATTTCTTCTCCGTCCGTCAGCCGAGAAGAGTACTGAAGGCGGCATGATGGTTGCAGCGCTACATGTATAGCTTGGTCCAGGCCCGAGCAGATAAAAATCCTGGGGAAGTTTCACAGTAGTGTTTGGCGTACCTGAGAGCCCGACACTGACCTGAAAGGCCGAAACCGTGGCTGCCGGGTCTTGACCCCACAACGCAACAACGCCTCCCTTGCAGCAATCAGTGTACTTTCGATTGTTGGGCACTCCTGGAAGCAAGTCGATGATAGCAGGGCTTCTTTCACAAGAGTGAGGGATGTTTCCCATGAATTTCGAGCAATCCCCTTGATCAGTCGCCTGCGCTCCCACGACAGACCATATTGTCTCTTTGCCTGCCCAAGTCCATCCCAATGTCCACCCAGGGCTCGGGATGTGCCTGAACATTTGGAAGTTGCTCAAAGTGATGGCTGCCTACAAGTTATCACACTAGATTTAGTCAGTGCCTTCGCTACTATGTTCAGGATCGGTTCATTGCCCAAACTTACAGAACAAGAATTCAACGAAAGCACCATTCAGTCACATGCCTTTGGAACAGCGATTCTCACCACGTAACCATCCGGCGTCCACGACATAACGTCCCATTTAATGTTAATGTTTCCATGAGGATCGAGCACGTCATAAGCCACTGAAAACAAGACAAGAGGAGTTAGAAAAGGCGAGAACATTGGCACATGACAGTATCATTGCTAGGAAATAAATTTTTTGTCTTCACAGCTGAATTCTCCGAGCTAGAAGCTCACCCGTTTGAGCCAATGCCATCATAAAGAGAATGACCGCGACTCCGAGGCGATCGAGGTTACACGAGGACATCCTCAAAGTTTGCTATTATTGTATGGAGGATGGTGAAGATGCAAGGATCACTAAGATCAGTGAGGTCCTTATATAAGAACTAACTCAAAGTGGCATCAGAATACAGCTCAAAAAGTACAATTCTGTTGGGTCCTTCATGTTAGATACCCTTAGCAGATTCTTTGGCTCCTTCTAGGGAAAGTGATGGATGTATCAATTGTTGAGGAGATGACATTTGCAAAGTTCTTGCACAAGCCATGGAAAAATTGAAAATGTAAACTTTGATGGGCCAATCATGCAATGTCCTCAAATTGCTAGAATTTTAGTGCATTAGTTCATCTAATTAAGTTCCAAATGATGAGGATTTCTGAACAAACTCGAGCCACGGACAGAGCGGCAATAGGAAAAATAAATAAATAAAAATATGGGTTCTTAAGCTTGCGTCGCCGCAGAATTAAGCGCTTGTAGTAGTAGAATTAGATGGAGAAATTCAGTAAGTTTACTTTGCACAAATGGAATGAAGTTAGCCTAATTATGTCTTAATATGAATTGGTCAAACCATAGAAAATGGACAAGGGAATCCAGCGATTGTGATTTTGTACTAGAAATTTCTTTCCGATGTTCAATTGCCACTTGTCTTTGTTTTTTTTTAACGAAAAGTTGAAGTTTGTCACATAGTTCAAATGGAAAAAATTAGATTTAGGAGTAAGCGGTTCCCGATCCGGTCCAATCCAACTCAAGAACTGGGAACTGGACCGGGAGGACCGGTTCCCAGTTTCTAAGATCGGGGACCGAACCGGCTAGTCTTGGGATCGTAGACCGGACCGGACTGATAATCCGGTCCGGTTCCACCAATATTAAATATTTTTCGTGAACCGGAAACCGATTGTTCCATTCTTTCCTTTGTAGGTATGATTTGATCCCATAAGGCCATGGAAAAAATTGGAAAAATATATATAATATATGAAAAAATTGAACAATCGGTTCCAATGGGACCAATATTAAATATTTTTCATATATATATTAAATATTATATATAATCGGTCCGGTCCAGTTCCCACCCTAGAACCGGGAACCGGACCGCCCAGAAATCGGTTCCACTTTTAAGAACATGGAACCGAACCGATATTTCCGAGAACCAGACCAAACCGGTCGATCCGGTCCGATTCCGATTTGGCCGGTCCATCATGCTCACTCATAATTAGATTGGTTTTCGTGTGTTCTATAGTACCAGCATCTTTTGACTGTGATTCTTCACTAAAGTCAGACATACCCTGAAAATAAAATGTACCTAACTTAGCCAAGTTGACTTTCGTACCATAACATTACCATGCTCATCTCGTTTACATAGACCTGTGAAACGGATAGATCGGATCGGGTTCAGGCAGGTCGACGATGAATCCAATCCAAATTGATGCAGTTAATCATGTCGACCAAATTGCATGTGATACAATTTCAATGACTCACACCCGACCCGACTCGGACTTAACTCATACCAAATCCAACCTGTTTATATGCTAAACGATTTACCCAAGAAGCTAATTTGTTAAAATGCTAATCAAATTTTAGAACCCCTATTACAAGCTCATGGAGCGTGCTCCAAGAGTTCCAATTTAGGTTAGCCCCAACTTGGACTTTAATATCATTTTTGGTCATAATCTAACTCTCATTTCAATCAATTATTAAGTGAATTAAGGTATTCGCCGGCTACTCATGACGGACTTGCCCATAAGATATCGACCCTGTTCATATCAAACTCGAGCGGCCTGGTTTTCATAATAGTTAATTCGAGGAATGTACAAATTCAGTCTAAGAGTTGACTTTCTAATTGAATTCAATGTCACTGCACTTTCGCAGGTCGAGCCTAACCCTACTTATATAAATTTCGGAATACAGAGCTCTACTAGATGCAATTCGGGTTTCCGCCATAGTTGTTTTCTTCTTCTTCTTCTTCTTTTTTCTCATGATCAGTTTGAACACATCAAGCGCTTCCTCGAATCAATCTCGAGCTTTGAAAATAGATTTACATCGAATTTGAGAATAGTGTCTGGAATTTTCTAGTCACGTCGCCTCCAACCGTGTGCTCGACTCGACTCGACTCGATTACGCACCCCCTGACCATTTCCAAGCATGCGATGCTGATCCCAGCTCAGTGCATGGGCTCGAGATGCGTGTTCGGGTCTCGGATTCTTGAACATGGATTGATGTCCACACCTAGACGAGGCCCACAACACACCCCACCAAGAAACAGTTGGGTCAGGCCCAATTAGGCCCAATAAGTCCACATTGGGCCTAAGTCCATGACTCGTGTATGAAGTTTGTTGGCTTAATGGGCTGTTATGTTAAGCCCATGATTCCCGAATCATTTTCTCCGTATATATATTTCTCGAAATTTGAATATGTCTCGCGACCCGAAAGAATCCGAGGGAAGGACCGCTATGCAATTTGCATCGGTAGGCTGAGTTCTACCTCCGAGCACCGCGACCTTTCTTTCAAGTTCAGGTCAAATGATATTGCTCCGAAACATGTCGATTCGCATCATCGCACGAGCTACGAATGTCGTGCCAATTCATATCGCATATGGACCGTCAATGACGGGTACTCAGCCCGCCACTCTCTCGATGCAATTAACGGTCGGAAATTAACGCCCGAGGGTACGATATTCATTTTCTCTCCTTTATTCAATTAATCGACTTTATTCCGGATAAAAAATAAATAAATAGACAAAATCTCCTATTTTTTGTTGCATGGCATGCTTAATTTCGAATTCGAAAAAAAAAAAAAAAAGCCGAACGTTCGTGTCGGTAAAGGCGTCCAACCACGGCCCAGTCGGTGCTGTCGGTGAGCGAAGTCCTCGTCCTCCCTGTTCGGACCTCTCTCTCACATGTCCTCATGTTTTTAATTATTGTCCTTTTTTTATTTTATATTTTATTTTTTACTTTATTTCAAAAAATGAATTGGCTCTTCATCACAAGAAAAGTAGGGAAGCATTATTGACCTTGAAAGCTTAAAATAAGATTGACCACGATATGAGTGGCCCATGTGAGCCTTTCCGCTGTCCATACTATGAGATCTTCAATCATCATTTGCTAGCCCAACAGCTTTTTTGACTCATATAATCACTTTTTTCTCCTTTTTATTTTCGGCTATTTTGAACCAAGGTCGCTCGACTCCCCCCTCCCCCCGGCGGCCCAAAAAAACAATAAGCATAAGTTCATCAAAAATCATGAAACTTGTCACGAAAGCGCAATCAAGTCATAAAATTTTCAAAAAAGTGCAATTAAATCCTAAAACTTGTCAAATTGGTTCGATCAAGTCCTTCTGATGATTTCACTTTCTAAAAGTTTTAGAACCCGATTGCACTTTCGTGACAAGTTTTAGGATTTGATTGCACTTTTTGAAAGTTTTATGACACGATTACACTTTCGTGACAAGTTTAAGGGCTCGATTGCACTTTTCGACAGTTTCGGGACCCGATTACACTTTTATGAAAGATTTTAGGACCTAATTGCGCTTTTTGAAAGTTTCATGACTCGATTTTACTTTTACGACGCGTTTTAGGACTTCCAGTGTACTTTTCCTTAAAAAAAAAAAAAAAAGAAGAAAAACGAATGTCGTTTCGCAAAACTTTCACTCGTTAAACACGCAAGATCACCCGCTTCTTCGACGCGATAGATCATATTCAATTAAGAGCTCAAACTGTTACCATCTCGGGATAACATACTCAACATGAAAAAATCGGTATTTCCCTTTTTTTAATTTATTTACTAAAATAATGCACTAGAAATTGATTAGGCAAAGCAGCATTTCCTTCCAAAATGAGGAATATGCTTTTGGCCAATAATGGACTTCGATTCGATCCATACGAATTTTGCCTGTCTGTGCTCGTGCTGCCAACTGTGATCTGACAACCTTGAACTCCATCATCGCCAACAGGATACGAACGAGCTTCCCCCTACGGTCCCAATGTCCCACGACAAAATGAAAAGCCTCCCCTTTTTGACGCTTTGCATCGTTCAAGAGCGTCCGATTTTTCCTAGCATCAATACTTTCATTGGAAAAAGGTCAATCCCTGGGATTTTATCGAAAGGGAAATCCATAGATGGATGGATCAAAGAGAACGCGAGGAATCGAACCCGTATACCGAAACCTAATGATCATTACCGACACGAAACCGACTGCGCATAACATGGATTCCGGAAGCCCGAAAGTGTTAGGATGCCGGAACGGAGCATACCTTATAGCCAAACCGATTCATGTTTATCGAGTGCGAAATTAGTCGAAGCATTAGGGCCGGACAAATGAGTCCGGGTCGAGTTGCTCGATTCGAAGAAGCGACGGCACGAGGGTGGGTTTTTTAGCTTGTTCTCTTCACGGTTTCGTCTCTTGCCCCCTTAGAACCTGAGATTGGAAGCTTTGGTCTTATACGCATCATTTCTCTTTCTTTTCTTTAATTGCATTCTCTCCTTCCTTTCCGGGTCATTGTCTAGGGTTACAAAACGCATATCTCCAGGCCTAGACATTTGACCCGGTTTCGGGGACACATGGGCAAGTCATCTCGGCATACCACTGAACAGAAGGCATGACAAAACCAAAGCGTCGCAAGCGTTATCGCGTTCATCTCGTGGTATCGTATAATCCAAATTTCGAAAGTACGTATACAGAGCACCTTCCCTTTCTCTCTCTTCTCTCTCATCGATTTTTGTCCGAATCCTTGTATTCTTTCGAGGAAATGGGGGAGGATAAGGATCTCCTTTCGATCTCGAAACAATTCAAATCATCAAGGAACCCTTTGACCGGAACCTCGATCGTCGGAGTCAATCGAGTCGGGAATTCGAATATTACGTGACGCGTGAAAAACGAATGAATTTTAAAAAAAGGAAAAAAGAAGTTGGTGGGGGCAAGCATTTTGCAAAGTAGTGTGCCCCGTAGCGGCCCCCCATGATACAGGCCTCCTAGACGCAGGTCAGGATCCATCCCACTTGCTAATTGGACTTTTTCAATCAATATGCGTTGCGAATATGCCCTTCGCCCCAATTAGTAGATGGCGAAAGACCAGACGAGATCCGTAGCGCAAGTAGCAGATGCAGCACGAAGAATCAAACCGGTGGTGTCATGTTAAACATCAAACGAAATTCAACGGTTAGCCCCCGTGCCAAAAGATTTAGACTATATAGTTCCCTGCATATTTCCATGTGCCAGCGGCGGAAATTCCCCGACCCAACCCCCCGCCCCCCCGCCCCTTGGGATGGTAAAAGAAAATAATAATGAGATCGGTCCCGCCGTATCGGGTCGGACGGCTTCGCGGTACCGCGTTTCAACCGTACACCGTAGATTTTCCGCCGTTCGACGGCATTCGCATTGTACTTTTTCGGGGGGTGTTTCGGGAGGGATGAGAAAGGATTCTGAAAATGCGGTCGTGCGTGTGTTTTAGAAAAAAGGGAAAAGATATCTACATCGCTGCACCACCATCGAATCATTCACAACGTATAAAAATACGTAAATCGTATCTTAATCATTTACGCGATAAAAATAAAAAGGTATGCAGAATCTCCTAATTATCCCTAATAGAGTAGAGGAAATGATATGATTTTTGGAAGTAGCTTATATAATGGGCATAGATCATTCCGGTAGACATTGTTGTTGGATTTCAAAAAATGATAAGTATGCATTGAGATAGATATATTTAAGGTATAAATAATTGTACAAGGAGCACAGCACGATGCAGAACGCAGAACGCACACCAAGACAAAAGAAATTATAATTCTACAGATGCAGCGTTAGGTTAATCGATTTGTCTTCGCTAAGAGAGAATCGGCCCACAACGAGATTTGTCTTCTCTACCCATTTCGTCACGTTAACCGACGATCAAAACATCACAGGGAACCGAGGGATCCCTCTCGCCCCCGATAGACGGGAGGGATTTGCAGGTTCCGTGGCTCGATCCGCGCTCGTCCTTTCCCGAAAGGAAGGCGGTTTTCAGGTCCCGATCCTCCGATCGCGGCATTCACGCCAGATGGACAAGCGCGCACGGGGAAACCGAAAAACCGAGCCTCCGTCGATCACTCGATTCCCTCGCGCTGATGGCCATGTTTTTTTTCATCCCCCAGAATCTTCACATTTCCGGACACGCCCCCCGTACCCCATACGTTATTAAGATCGTTACGAAGTCACGTTCCGAATGCATGCGAGCGGCCTAACATCATCGCCAGCCCTTCCCCCACACGATTCATTTCAGATTCAATTCAATTTTGACCGTTTCCTCCCCCACCCCCCCCCCCTACCGCTTTCTGGCCACCCACCGAACACGTTCGAAGTCCACCCTTTTTTAGGCCGCTGCTCTGATTGGTGGTCCTCGCCCGCCCCCACGACCCAAGACCCAAGACCCGTCCCAGTCCGAGGGACACGTGTCGGCCTGGGATCGGGTGGGCCCCGCGGCGGATCGTTGCCCCGCTGCGGGCCCCCACCTCCTTTTTTTCCCCTTTTTTTTTCCTGATTTTTTTTTGAAATTTTCCGAAAGGCTCCAAGAATTTAAAACCAAAACGGGGGGGGGGACTTTGGAGGAGCCGCCCCCGCCCCGAGACACGAGACTCCTTTGAGCGTCCGACGCGCGTCCCCCCCACCCCACTTCGCCGCCCTGCCTCTCCCGTGCCGACCCCGCCGGTTCTCACGTGCCCCCCGGCCCTTCCCTTCCCTTTCGGGTCTTTCCCTCCCCCCCCCCCCCCCCGAAATTTCCCCTTTTTTTTTTTTTTTCCTTTTAGTAATTTTCCATTGACGACGTTATTTTTTTTCTCTCCACCTTGCACGGGAAAAAAAGAAACGCTGCTGATCTCCATTTTTTTATTTTATCTTATTTTATTGTTTCGACACGAGGTGGGCGCTCCAATACGATATCAGAGAGCCGGATTTCATTCCAATCCGTTTCACGCAGGATGTCCCCCCCCCCCGGGCTTGTGACATTCACGTTTGTAAGCTTTTGGAGAGATGACTTTTCAAAGGTAACGGGATTAATTTTAGCTGATCGATCGAGGGTACGCACAAATCAAGAGAGATATGCAGGCAGAAGAGATATGAAAAGAAATTGTATTTATCTCTATGGTTTTTCACGAGATAACTTTTTCATATCCATTTAGATAAGGATTTTCCTTTTGGCCAGCACGGCTATGATAAGGTTGGAGGATGTGAAACCTCGTCCCTTTGTTAGCTCAATCGGTACATCTCAGATGACTCTGAGTTTTGTCCATGAGCTCTTTTTCCGTGCATAGAACTATCTCCTTCAAGAGCAGCGTAGTTTTTAATTTCAAAATATTCGCTTTTATACCGATGGGGATCGGCGGATTCTTTATCAGTTTCGTACGAGACTTCACCATATTAATTTTAAATAGATAATTACCTAATATATACAGACTACTCGTTGAATTTGGAAATTTCTCAATCGGTGTCGGAAATTGTAAAATTTGTTTTTGTCCTTCCATTTGGCCCAAACCCCCATTGGTGGAGTGATGATAAAAAAAAAAAAAAAAGGTGACATCGCAATGAAAACTGACGAATTATGCAAGTTATTTATAGGAACGATATTTATTGCCTTAACAAGGCAGTTTTGAACAATCAATTAAAGAGCAATGCTAACTCCCTAATGTTAGCTTGCATTGGTGTTTTTTCTCCCTTAAACTCTAATTAGCTATATTAATTTTATTCATATTCAAGCGATTTTTATTTTTCATGTTATAGTCATATTCATTTTGTTGTCCAGTTTTTTTGTTTTTACAAAAAATCAAGGTAAAGGAGATAATTCTATTAAAAATTAAGATGAGAATATATATTTACTCTTTAAATGTTACATACATTACACATACAAAAAAAAAAATTTATGAGTCAACGTATAATAAAAGGTAACAAATTAAGGGTGACTACCTACATCTAATTTATGGTAATTTCGTACAAAAATCTCCCCAGAAATGAAATATGATGGTTCCTTTTTAGGGTCAATATCACGAAAAGTTCCAAATTGGTATATCTGCGACATATTTACCTCAAATTGAATATGATCTTTCCTTTTTAGGGTTAATACCACGAAAAACCCAAAACTAGTATACCTGTGACAAATTTACCCTGAAATAATTTTTTAACCACAAAAAATCAAAAACTAAGACATTCTTGACAAATGTATCATTCGTTAGTTTCCGTTAAATTGAATTAATATCACAAAAAATCACAGACTAGAAAACTCCAAACTGATACATTCGTCTACTGTCACGTGTCATCAAACTCAACAATTTGATTGTAAAATTTAACGGAAATTAAAGGATGGTAAATTTGTCACAGGAATATCAATTTGTAGATTTTTTGTGGTCAAAAAATTGATTTGAGGGCAAATTTGTTGTAGTGTACCGATTTAAAGTTTTTCGTGATATTAATCAATCTTTTTTTTTAGGGAAAAAGGTAAAAGGGAGGTGGAAGCATGCCAACGTGGCACCAATGAAACCCCGTCCTACAGCACGATGCTTAGCTGGACCACACACGCACCACCCCACCCCCTCGCACGTGCCACCGCACCATATATAAACCCCTACAAACCCCGTCTCTCTCCTCTAACTCTCCCTCATCTTCCCTCCTCCCCGTCGTCTCCCTCTCTCTCTCTCTCTCTCTCTCTCTCTCTAGCTCCGAAGCTCTCGACAATGGCGTCGGCCTCCTCCTCCGCCGCCGCGGCCGCCGTCGCGCCGACGCCGTTGCTGAAGGACGAGCTGGACATCGTGATCCCGACGATCCGGAACCTGGACTTCCTGGAGATGTGGCGGCCCTTCTTCCAGCCCTACCACCTGATCATCGTGCAGGACGGCGACCCGTCGAAGGTGATCAAGGTCCCCGAGGGCTTCGACTACGAGCTCCACAACCGCAACGACATCAACCGCATCCTCGGCCCCAAGGCCTCCTGCATCTCCTTCAAGGACTCCGCCTGCCGCTGCTTCGGCTACATGGTCTCCAAGAAGAAGTACATCTTCACCATCGACGACGATTGCTTCGTGAGTCTCGCTCCTCCTCCCTCCTCCCTCCTCCCTCCCCCTCCTTCCGGTGGTTTGGATTTCGATCGTGGTTGACCGCGACTAGCTGAATTGAGAATTAGTTGACCGTGTTTTACTTTTCTTTTCTTTTTGTTTTTTGTGATGTGGAGATCTAGTTCTGGTTTCGTTCGTTCTGTGCCGATCTGGTCACTGTGAGTTGGTCGGTGGTTGTTTGGGCGGGCTGATCTGTGTTTTGACTCGAGTAGCTTGACGAGGAGGTTCTGTAATTTTGATTAGCAGACTTCGGTAGCTGATGTCAATTTAGGTTTCTCCGAGAGCTTAGTACTACTGCTCTTGGTCGTACGGCTGGTGGCGGAGAGTTGGGAAAGGTAGATCTGTTGATTTTCTGTAGATTGAGCGAGTTTGATTAGGGACATTGTCGTCATTCTCTTTGTATCAAGTTTGAATTTGTATTTTTCTCCACCGTGGAGACTTAGATCCTAGCGAAAAATCCTTGCTTTGCTGTAATTTTGTACTTTTTGTTTGACCGTCCGCGAGATCTGAGCCTTTTTCTTTTGTTTTGTGTAATGTCCTAGGCTGCATGATCTGGACTAGGTTTGAGATTGAAGTACGAGTGAAGCTATGGGCATGCTATTGTGATACGGATATCCCATAGAAAATAAGCGCCATTGCTTCTGATATCATGATGCATTGGTTGGCGAGTCAGGGTGAAAATTGGTTTATTTGTGGCTTTGTTTGTTTATGTCTTTGTGAAAATGGCAGGTTGCTAAGGATCCAACTGGCAAGGACATCAACGCGCTTGAGCAGCACATTAAGAACCTTCTGACTCCATCCACACCGTTTTTCTTCAACACCCTTTACGATCCATACAGAGATGGTGCCGACTTTGTTCGTGGATATCCCTTCAGTCTCCGCGAGGGCACACCAACCGCTGTTTCCCATGGCCTCTGGCTCAACATCCCTGATTATGATGCCCCCACTCAGCTCGTCAAGCCTCTTGAGAGGAACACTAGGTTTGGACTTTGTACTCTCTGATCTGTGTCTGTATAAGTGCAATGCATGCTTCATCATGGGATTATGATTACCTTGTGCCTCCTTATACCAGGTTCGTGGATGCTGTCATGACAATTCCAAAGGGAACTCTCTTCCCTATGTGCGGGATGAACTTGGCATTCAACCGTGACTTGATCGGCCCTGCTATGTACTTTGGCCTCATGGGTGATGGTCAGCCAATTGGGCGCTACGACGATATGTGGGCTGGCTGGTGCACCAAGGTAGTTATGTTCCATGCTGCTCTTGTAATGCGTTTTTCAGAAATAGCTTGACAGATGAGATTTACATTTTATCAGCATCTGAGAAATGGGACTGGACATTATTTGATTTTGATTTTCGTCCGCCTGATTAGAGAAGCTAAAATCAGTCATTTTGATGACTATGCAGGTCATCTGTGATCATTTGGGATTGGGAGTGAAGACAGGACTCCCCTACATCTGGCACAGCAAAGCCAGCAATCCGTTTGTGAACCTCAAGAAAGAGTACAAAGGCATCTACTGGCAAGAGGAGCTGATCCCATTCTTCCAGTCCGTGACCCTTCCCAAGGAGTGCACCTCCGTCCAGAAATGCTACATCGAGATCTCTAAGCAAGTGAAAGCCAGGCTCAGCAAGGTTGACGAGTACTTCAACAAGCTGGCTGATGCCATGGTCACATGGGTCGAGGCATGGGATGAGCTCAACCCATCTGGGAAAGAATCTGCTGCCGCACCCAACGGCGCTGCAAAGTAGAGATTTGTTTCTTTGACAGGCATTTTTCTCTCGAATAGTGCGGATCCTGTACCTTCAGTCTTATTATTGCCGTCCTGGTTTTTTACCCTTTTGACTCTCAAGAGCATCATTTACATGGCGGGTTTGAAGCCTTCTTTTTGTCTTATTTATTATATTTATGTTACTATGAGATCAGAACAATAAGGTTATTTAGGGATTCTGTACTGAATTAGATTGGGCATTTTGATGAGATTTAATTTCAATATGATTGAGATGAGATGACTGCCTCTTTCTGTTTCTTCTTTTCTCTGGTTTGATTTGTTGCTTAACGCCTGTGTGGTTGTTCTTCCTTTTTAAGGGGCCTTTCTAGTACAGGGTCATAGCTCGTTGACTTTGGAGTGTTGGAATCTTAGTTGGTGGGATCTTGGAGGGAGTGTGAAGTTTTAAGTGGGAAAATGTTGTGGATGGACTCGATCTACATATTTATAGATCCTGTATAATTTTTAGGCTATCCCAAAATTGAAATGCCTGACCTTTGGTCGGTTCGATGGCAAAGCATATACGATTCTGCTTTCCACATTGTTTGATTAGATTTGTACATGGAAATGTGGCATTTACATATAGTAGGACTTGGAACTCGGTCTTGTCGATGAGCGTTCTTGACACACTTATTAAGCATACGGAAATGTTTTCATTTTTGAAGCACTGACTATATACCTTAGGCTTGTGATTACATTATTTAGGATCATATCATGATATTGAATGGATCTTTAGCTTCCTTGTTCTGCACCGAGGTTCCCTGTCGTCTTAAAGAAGTTTATAACCGAACGCAATTTTCGATGAGTCAACACTGACATTAGGCGTTATGTACTCCAATTTCTTCGTAGGTTTTGAGATTAGAGAACAGATGATGGGTATCGCGAGAGCCCCAAAACATAAGGGACATTGGAGAGGAAAGCTGCACAACAAAACCAAAGATCTACCATCTGGATGCAGTAGAATCTTTGGTATCAACGAATTCCTTCGTCCACAATGTATAAGAAAGACACTCTACTTTAACCTAACTGCTGCTTTGGCTCTTTTACAACAAATCACCACCTGCACTCTGCATTTTCCACGCGCTGTAGGTGTCGGTGTCCCATGTGCAAAAACCCAAAGATTTTTACCAACTCTTTTTTTTCCTTTATTAATTATGAAAGCTTCGTGTGCAAGCGGCCAGTTCAAGTGCCAGTTTCAAGAAACACAAACACCTTCCTCATGAATTGATCTGAATCCAGCCCACATACTTCAGTACAGAGCCTCAGATGAATCTGTGTTTTCTTCTCCCCTGTTTATCACATGAAGAATCGATGACTCCAAAATCTGTCAATGCCAATGTCCTAATATTGAGAAAATGACAAAATGCGGTTGCATGCTGGGCCTTGCAATTCTTCTGCATAGTTGCCACAGAATCAAAGCCACAAAACAAGCCGACACAGACACGACATCGATGTACAACGCGCGACAAGTTCCCCATGACCAAAGTCATGGAGAAGTTGGACCACCGTCACCATCAGAAAGCGGGAAGAACAGAAGAAGTAGTAGCTATAAACCAAATTAGTGGTTTGATACCCTTTCGCATGAGGATTTTTACTCGATCCTTGATTTTTCCTCGTTGGACCACCATTACTAACACCTTCATAGACTAAATTCACTACTCTTTCCCGCTTACTGCTTGGACCAGAAAAAATTGCAAAGTTCGATAAATAATTTTTCACTTGATTGGGTGTACCACCGCCTTCCGTGGCCATCGAAGAATACGGATTTTCCCTATACTGCCACCATTAATCTCTCCCCCAGGATAAATAAAAGTCGATCAGCCAATTCTCTGTTTTACCAAGGCAAGATCACGAACTCGAGCCAGACTAGCAGAAGAATCGAGAAACAATGCAGAAAACATGCAAAGCTCCAAACTGCTTGTCGATTGTAACTGCCGCGAAAATAAGAATGCATATGTTGCTAAAAGAACTGAACTGCAACATTAAGTTTGACAGCAGTAGACGAAAGAGAGAAAGATATCAGTTCCAGATTTACTTATGCCAGCATCACCCCCGTTTATTTTGGTTATAGCAATCTTGGCCCAAACATCCTCTCATCTCAGACAAAATAAAACATTCAGGTGAGAGTGCAAGTCGCCGGTCTATATATATAAATAAACAGAGCCAAGAGGCGAGCAACTTTGCCGAGAGAAGGATGAAGGTTGCCGTAAAATCGACAACACTATGCAATTGGGTGGCATCACGAGTAAGACACTCCAATTCCAGGAGGGACTTGATCCTCATTTATCAGCTAGAGCCTAGCGCAACTTAACGCTCGGTGCCAAGACGAGTTCAAAGAAAAAACCTTGCCAAACAACATCATTTCATGTAAAATAAGCACAAGTGGGAAAAAATAATCAAATAATTTCTCCTCATAGTATATACAGTTGATTTCCAATAAAGCGAATGTCGACAAAGCAAACTGAATACGAAAGAAATACAGGCGCTACCTACCCATCGAGTAAATGGAGTTTCCAGGATTTCCTCTTGTACCTCGCGTTGGAGTGCTCAAGTGATCCTGGGACAACCGAAAACATCATTTTGCTCCTTCAAATGGATGGATTGCCTTCGATCCTCCACACGGTGAAGTTGTGATGACAATTGAAGCAAGTTCATTGTAGTACCACCACCTTTAGGAGAAAGATTGTCCCTGGAGTTTACAAAACCAGATCCCTGCAGAATCCCATCGGAGATCTCCAAATCAGAAATCATGGTATGACCTGGGAGGTTTCCTTCTGCAGAGTCCATCACCGACGAAGACAATTTTTTCAACTCCACCCCTATGGAAGCATGCGAACTCAAATCCACTAGCTTGTCGGATGCTTCGCACAGAGAGGAATGATAGTCGGCGCCTGCCATGAACAAAGACTGAGCCATGGGAATTCGGGAGCGGCTCGAAGAATTTTGAGATAGAGATGACAGAAGAGAGAGAGCAAGGCCAGATTCTACGATCCCCGATATTCCTTGTACAGTTGATGCTGTGTCGAAAATAGCAAAGTCCTCACTACCGAAGGAGGTGTCTTGAAAAGAGGAATGTGAAGAGTTTTGCCCACCCAGCTCACGTGGAATCTGATTATTTTTACTGGAAATGCCGCATGATGTGGATTTTACTCTGCCTCCATCGAAGAGGGAAAATTGTCTCTCAAATTTGTAAGGAGAGATCAGTGATATCGCATTCGGATGCCTGTTTGGGATGGGAATAGCTGATGGAGGACCAAGACCGGTTTCATCTTCAGCTTTGATGCGCTCATACCAATTATTCATTCCATATAGCCCAGAATTCAGAAACTTTTCGCCAGCAAGTGTATCTTGGCAGATGAAGGAGGTTGGCGCTAACAGATTCCTCTCAAGCCCGCTACCTGCAGTCATGCAGTCATTTACAATGTCATTATGATGCATAAAACAAATGGGAGGATTTCTCTAACGCGAAGTGAATTTCTGATTAAGACATAGTCGGCAAGCAATTATTACAACAGGAAAGATTCATACTAAGTTTAGATCAGGAAGCATGACTGGTTTCTCAATGTTCATGGTTTAAATAAAAAAAGCAACATTATTCAATTATGCAATGCAAAGTGAGAGCTGTCAGTAGCCAAGCTAGAGAGAACAAAAGTAGAACTAAACACATCTTAGGGCTCGTACAATAACATAATCCAGAGTTCCAATTCCGTCCCATGTAGAGACTGGCTTCGGTTATTTAACGGGACATCTTGCATTTCTCTTATGGGATTTAGAATATTCAGATGCCGCACAAGTTGCACCTCGAAAATTCATCAGCAGATAGCACATGAAACTGCCATCCTGTCTTCTTCCATGTAAAGGAATTGGCTATTCCATCCAGTTTAAAGAACCATGTGAAACCATAAAAGCAAATGGGACTTGGGACTGTGAGTACGTTCTATTCCTTTCCCTTTCTATTGGAACATGTGATAGGGTTAGCTGAGAAGTATGCTGAGAAAATTGTGCTATCGTAGTCTGTAGTAAAGGCAAATCTCGAGGCATTTACCTTATTTTAGGTTTATACTAGTGTAAGCTAGAGCTTACCAAACACATCTATTAGAAATATTATACATCGAAACTACTGACATAATTCAAAAAGAATTAAGACAATCTCACTTTTCACATTTCTTTCATAACCTCAAGGTATCTTGGAGAGCCAGAGCTAGTTGAACCCAATCAGAAGACTGATCTTTGTGGCACATACAAGTAGAGCCATCGGGATAGTACGCGAAGATAGCTCATTCAGTTATATTAACAGGGGCTCCAAGTTTTTTATTGCAAGCCTATAGCTTAAACTGAAAAGAGCGGATGTTCATAGTTCGATAGTCTATGTCAGTCATTAAACATAGTTGTAGCAACAGAAGAAAGCGAAATATATACATCATATGCGAGACCCTCAAAAAACTGCAACATTTAGGTTAAAGAATGTGAAGGAAGAACCATCTCTTTAGTAGATTGTGGAGGGAGGCAGAATCAGCTACAACCTGGTAAACAGGCGATTTTGAATTAACAGACACAATGCATGCTAGAGTTGAGTACCCTGAAACTCCTAGTGCACATTTAGAGCCAAGATACAGTACACATTTTTAATCTAGAAAACAATGCACATGATTAGGGAAACCTGCAAGCATGTGCTAATTCAAGCTTTCATGACAGACACTCAATCTAATGGCCATGTCCTGGTGACTTTGGCAAACCAGTGTTCATTCATGACAACAAGATTGAAGTAACTTCAAGTCACAAGGTAAAAAGCACCGGAGAACTGGCTTTGGATAAGATCCTCTGGTTGATGAAAATACAGACCTCGCAACTCAGAATGCACATGTTAGTTCTCCTTTATAGTTGAGAGGAGTATATTCTGTCAACGGGCAAACCTGCTCCATATCTTAAAAACACGACGCATCATTACATAACAGAGACTAAAACAAAATAGCAGGAGACAGCGCAAGGAATCATTAAATTCTCGAGTTCAAGAGATCGCATCTTGACTTAATGATGTTTTGAATTGCATAAGGAACTCCCCTGATAATGGACAGACATCCATTACTGTTCAGCCTAAAGTAAGTAATGCACCTCCTTTCTAGACTTACTGCAAACAAAGTTTAGATATTAAGACAGACTATTCTTGATCCCAACTATCCGCAAGACAATACCATAGAAAATTGCAAATCAGTCGTTATGGTGAAGAAACAGATCAATTTCTGAAGCATCTACATTTGCTGTGGTAAGTCAACTACCTGCACTCAATTATGTCATACTCTCACCTGCATGCATGCACGCGGAGAGAGAGAGAGAGAGAGAGAGAGAGAGAGAGAGAGAGAGAGAGAGAGTCTAAGTAAGTAAAAGCTTTGCAGTACCATCGTATGACTGCAACAGCCTGCCAACACTACCAGACTGAACACCAACATGAGGCTTCCGGCGACGCTCATTGTGGACACTGAGACGTTTACGACAGCTGCGCTTACCGTCATCAAATTCAGCTAGCAAATGAAACCTGGATGGTCAAGTAGTAGAACATACACTATCAGCAACAAAATCAACAACGAACTAGTCAAGGTATCATTTTTCTTAGTCTACTATCAAATTATATCAACACAGTAAGATGGTAGAGAAAACTTGGGAGATTGACAAATATTTGGGCTCAAGCAATGTTGTAAAGTTATCTTTTCCTCCCCTTTTATTTATGAAGCTTTCCGCGTAATTGCTCACGATGAGAGTATATCCAAAGATGTATGATGGGAGATGACAAACCTGCTACATTGCTGGCAAAAACGCTGTTCAATTCCATTAACAACTACTTGGGCAGTCTTTGAGTGAACCTCACACACTTTGTGCCTCTTGTGGTAGTCTTTTGAAGAGCTGAGATCTTTGTTGCATCCATAAACTTGGCAATAAGCGGTATGGCAATTCGCTGCACCAGAGCGAGCTCGCTTTGGAGGTGTCGATGATTCAGAAGAAGATAAAACCTTTTTCCCTCCTTGAGGAAATTTTGCGCCGAGCACTTCCCTGGATTCACCAAATCTTCCCAATTTCAAGTCAATGAGCAATGAATCTTGGGTACTGCAGTCAACCCCTGAAACCGATAAATTTGAAGTGGACTCCTCTTCTCCCCCAAAAGCATCCAAGGTAGCCATAATCTGACTCGCACCATTTCCGTCATCAAATTTATCAGTCAAGACATGCCTGGGGGACTTAGGTTGAACTTGCTTCCTGATTATTTCTTGAAAACCAAGTTGGCCGAAACCTTGGCCAACATCTGCTTCTTGACCCAAGACGACCACACTATTGCCAAAACTAGGCGGACTTCTTAGTTCCCAATTCATGACGGCATTTTTGCTCCTTGCAAGCAAATCAAATTGCGAGACAGTCTCATCTGATACAAAAGCCTTCCCTTCAGAAATATAGCTCCACGACTCCATTAAAAGAAAAGGACTTTCAGAATTAAAGAATTCCCACAAAATTTCTACCCCGACTCCACCCACAAAAGTCTTATTTCTAAACTAAAATTCCTGCCTAGAAATTAAAGAACCCACTAGCCAGCTGAATTAACATCTTGAGCACTGTACAGTAACTCCCGGAGGCTCAAGCTCAATCCGAGGTGGAAAGTGCCACAGCACAGGCTTCCCTTCTTGGAACCCGAATCCGAGAATCTTCAGATCCTGGACAAAGATTATCGTTTGAGAAAAGGACCATGCGTCCAAGAAAACTCCGAACTCACAACTCACAACTCACAACTCAGGCAACAGAGAAAAAGGGCACAAAAGCCAAGAAAAATCTCTTCAAACCCACGTGAACCCAATCTTGAAGTAACCCCGGTTCATACACTACCAATCACACTCGACGAAAGGGAGAACAAGGGGAAATTCAAGAAAAGCAGATGAGAGCAAGAAAACAAAAGAGGGGGGTGAGGGGGGGTTGGTGGTCCCAGTTCCAAGAACGCAGCGAAGAGTGAAGAGGGGAGTAAGACAGTTTCAGCGGAGCAAGAAGAGGAATAAATGCAAGAGCTGTTCTCAAAATGATACGAAAGAGAGCTTCGTCGCACTTTACCAATCGGGACTAACTCGACGCGTACTTGTGGCCGACAGAACCCACTGATGGAAAGTTAACAGCTCCAAACTCCATGGGAGAGCTTTTTGAGCCTCTGTGATATAAATTTCTATAGAGAGAGAGAGAGAACGACCAGAGGGAAAGAGGGAAAGATGGGAAAAGATGTTTTTCCTTTCTTCTTTCTTTTTGCCATTCACGTGAATTCTCTAAAAAACTCTCCACTTTAAATCAAATTTCAAATCTGCCCCTAACTTTTTTTTATTTCAAAAAAAAACTCTAAACTTTAGATCCAGTCCTAAATTTACCACGAACTTTTTTTTTGTCTCATAAAAAACCCCAAACTTTAAGTTCAGTCCCAAATCTACTCCGAATTTTATTTTGCGTAAAAAAAATCGGCAAATTTTAATTTATTTTCAAAAATATACCCCCGTGATCCAGTCCCGACTTGACGTGGCACTTCCACGTTAATAACAAATCCACATTAGCAAAGTAATAAGGCGATAGGTACAGACCGACATTGTATTTCCACTTCGATAACAAATCCAACCCAATAAAATTGTAAAACCATTCTAGAATATGAAAGTTTGGAACGATAACAAATCCACTCTAATTTTTTTTAATTTAAAAAAAAAAACCAAAATTTTAAGTTCAGTCCAAATTTGCCCCGAACTTTTCTTTGTCTAAAAAAGAAGCCCCATTACTTTATTGATGTGAATTTATTATCAATGTGGAAGTGTCACGTTAAGTTGAGACTGGATCACGAGGGTATATTTTTTAAAATAAATTGAATTTTGGTGATTTTTTTTACTCAAAACAAAATTTTGGGCAGATTTGGGAAGTTTGGGGTTTTTTCTTAGACAAAAAAAAGTTTGGGATAGATTTGGGACTGAACCTAAAATTTGGAGTTTTTTCTGAGATAAAAAAAAGTTTGGAGTAGATTTGGGACTTGACCTAAAGTTTGGATTTTTTTTTTTAGGGAATTAAGCTTGTTCTGATGTGTTTAACTTCCTTTTGCTGGCTGTCCGAGGCAATTTTTCCAACTACTTCTAATTTTTTTTTCTATATTTTTACAAAAATTTATTTAATAAAGTAGTATTCAGACCTCAAAAAACTGAGAGATATTATACGTCACTCTACATATCAATACGTATATATTTAGAATATTTTAAGTATTTGGTACTGTACAAAAGTAAAAAAAATACAATAAATTTCCTAAAATTTTATAAAAAGTTGAAAAAAAATTTAAAATCACCTTCAACACCACAATCTCAATTGCTAATTCCACCCCTTTTGATTTACAACTTCCAGGGTTTTATTAGGGTTTGTTTCAAGCTTTTTCTTTTGTACTGTTTACTGCTTTTAACATTTGGAGTTTCTTTATTATTTGTATTGGACCTCCCAAACAATTAAAATATCTTCTTTTTCCCTTTTGTCAAATGTGAAAAGAAAGGAAATGGTACTTGTGACTTTTCTTTTCAAAATTTTAAAGCAAATATAAGAAAGTTATGAAGCAAACCGACACCATTCTACTCGTCGATGTCAATAAAATTTTGAGTTGTAGGTGCTTTTGATCAAATAACGAGAACCGAACGATTTAGAAAAGCCAAGATGTTAAAATTAGAAACCATCCCAAATATTCAATTATCTTACTAAGCACCAAAGGAAAAAGATCATGAGAATTCATATACACTAAATCAACTTGCGGGCTCAATAAAAATTTCTCAATATCTGTTTACACCAAAAAATGGCCAACTTGTCAACATGGGAAATACATGACAGAGGCATGAATTACACGTCCCATTGTCGACGATTGTAGAAAGTGATATTCATTTAGTGCATCAATGATGGTTCAGTCATGATTGATGATTGTTTATACCAAAGATCATCAAGGGACACATGGCAGAGGCATGAGGTAATGTGGAAGCAAATATCATCAAGTTACCAATATAAATGATACATGTCAGAGGCATGTGTCATGTGTATATGTTTACACCCATTTTTGGTTATTATCGACAAGATCGGGAAAACGAGCAAAAATTTCAGTTCTGTGCCAGTTTAGGAAAATGGTCATAACTTTATCGATACATATTGGTTTGACCTGATTCCAAATCCAAAAGAACAAAGACTCGTGGATCTACAACTTTTATGTTTTGAGATTTCTCAGAAAATCACTGTAGAGTCATCTATTTTGGAAGGAAGTGGACAGTCGTGATTGGTCAGAATGCAGAAATTTCAGTTCTGTGCTAGTTCAAGAAAACGGTCATAGCTTTATCGATACATATCGTATTGACCTGATTCCAAAGCCAAAAGAACGAACACTCATGGATCTACAACTTTTATGTTTTGAGTTTTCTCAGAAAAGTACTGTAAAGTCGTCTATTTTGGAAGGAAATGAATGGTCGTGACCGATTAAAATGCGGAAATAAGATAGGAACTTTAGTCAAGAATAGCCAACTTGAACAAATCGACTAAAAGTAGAGTCGACAATCTTGGATACATCTGTCGAAGAAGTAATCGTCAATGTAGTGGAGTCGAAGTAACCGCCAACGTAGTGAAGTCGAATAAACCGTTAAGGTAGTGGACTCAACACAACCGTTGGAAAACCGCTACGGAGCACGCATGTATATTTTGAGAGAACAGTTACTTGGAAGCATGATCATGAAGCAATTATCATTTTTAGATAAGATCGTGAGATAGTCATCTTAAAAGCAGGAAGCATTACATGAACATGAAGACAAGATTTTCGAAATGGAAAAATATGGCCACAACTGTTGAAAACCGCTAAGGAGCAATTATCACACGACCATTATAAACAGTTATCATTTTTAGATAAGATCGTGAGATAGTTATCTTAAAAGCAGGAAGCATTACATGAACATGAAGACAAGATTTTCGAAATGGAAGAATATGGGCACAACTGTTGAAAACCACTAAGGAGCAATTATCACACGACCATTATAAACAGTTATCATTTTTAGATAAGATCGTGAGATAGTCATCTTAAAAGCAGGAAGCATTACATGAACATGAAGACAAGATTTTCGAAATGGAAGAATACGGGCACAATTGTTGAAAACCGCTAAGGAGCAATTATCACATGACCATTATAAACTTTTTCTTTCAATTAACATGTTATCTTTCAATTATCTTTACTTTTCTGTACCGCACTTTTTCTTTCCTTAGCTGTAACTTTCCTTTTGATTCGCGTCATCGATTAAATTTTGACATGTATCTCTATTCCGAGTGTTGCGTCGTCAATTAAATTCTGGCGTTACATTTTTGTGTACGTGTGTGGCTGTATTTTCAAGCTTTGTCGTCGATTAAATTCCGGCACGGTTTGTACTTATAGTTCGGTTCAAAAATTCCGGCACGGTTTGTACTTATAGTTCGGTTCAAAGTTTGAAGTAAATCTATTGATTTCTTGTCTTCCTGGATATTTCCTGTCCGGAGTCGCCACTGAACCCGGTCATCTCTCACAAAAAATCTGATATCATTCGGGGTGTCATGTGTATATGTTTACACTAAAAAATGACCCATTTTTGGTTATTATCAACAAGATCAGGAAAACGAGCTGAAATTTCAGTTCTGTGCCAGTTTGGAAAAAATAGTCATAACTTTATCAATACATATCGGATTGACCTGATTCCAAATCCAAAAGAACGAAGACTCGTGGATCTACAACTTTTATGCTTTGAGCTTTCTTAGAAAAGCACTGTAGAATCGTCTATTTTGGAAGGAAGTCAAAATGCGAAAATTTCAGTTTTGTGCTAGTTCGGGAAAATGGTCATAGCTTTATCAATACATATCGGATTGACCTGATTCCAAAGCCAAAAGAACGAACACTCATGGATCTACAACTTTTATGTTTTGAGTTTTCTCAGAAAAGTACTGTAAAGTCGTCTATTTTGGAAGGAAATGAATGGTCGTGACCGATTAGAATGCGGAAATAAGATAGGAACTTTAGTCAAGAATAGCCAACTTGAACGAATCGACTAAAAGTAGAGTCGACAATCTTGGATACATCTATCGAAGAAGTAACCGTCAATGTAGTGGAGTCGAAGCAATTGCCAATGTAGTGGAGTCGAATAAACCGTTAAGGTAGTGGACTCAACACAACCGTTGGAAAAACTGCTAAGGAGCATGCATGTATATTTTGAGGGAACAATTACTTGGAAATATGATCATGAGGTAATTATCACTTGTTGATAAGATTGTGAGACGGTCATCTTGAAAGCAGGAAGTATTACATGAACATGAAGACAATATTTTCAGAATGGAAGAATATGGGCATAACTGTTGGAAACCACTAAGGAGTAGTTATCACACGACTATTATAAATATCACTGGCCATCTACTGGAGAGCCTCATGACAAATCAAACAACATGTTATTTTTCAATTATCTTTACTTTCCTGTACCGCACTTTTTCTTTCCTTAGCTGTAACTTTCCTTTCGATTCGCGTCATCGATTAAATTCCGATGTGTATCTCTGTTCCGGGTGTTGCATCGTCAATTAAATTTCAGCGTTACATCTTTGTATACACGTGTGGCTGTATTTTCAAGTTTTGTCGTCGATTAAATTCCGGCGCGGTTTGTACTTATAGTTCGGTTCGAAGTTTGAAGTAAAGCTATTGATTTCTTGTCTTCCTGGATATTTCCTGTTCAGAGTCGCCACTGAACCCGGTCATCTCTCACAAAAAAGCCGAAGAACGACGTTCGGTAAATTATATTTCGTCGCGGGAGCATTTCCGGCGAAACAATAACTTAACGAGAATCCATGTCTTCATTTAAATGTGCTTGTTTATCATAAATCTTCGAATGTCAAACAAGAGCCATGCTATGATATAAGTAATTGATATTTTAAAAGAAATTCCTATGTATCTCGGAAGGATAGTATTAACGCTCTAGCCAATTCATTATGCTAATTACAAATACAATGCATTTTATTAGAGAAAATACCACAAAAAATCTCAAAGTATACTTACCGTAACAAAAATATCCCAAACTTGCCCACCGTGATACAAATACCTCCAACTTAAACTTATACATGTGAAACATATCTGTAATATATTTGCCACATAGGTATAAATTCAGGATTTTTTATGACACGAAAAAAGTTTAGGGTATTTATGGGG